CCTTGTTATACAAGAGAAAGTTCTGAATGGAAACATTTCTGTTAACCAACTTTTATTTGTGAGAGTAGAATACAGTCAAACCTCATTACCTCAAACTCAATGGGACCGAAAAAACACTTAGAGATATCCAAGGTAAAATACTTAAATAATAAATGTTTCAACATATACATGGTATTTGAGATATTATGTTTGTTTATCTGTATTTGCAATGTTTAGACCCTTATTAGCAAACATATCTCACAGCAAAGAATTTTCTTCTCTAATTGTGTATTAACTATTCCCAGTGGCTAAAATTAATGGTCTCAGGTGGACTTTAAACAGATGAATAATAAAAATAGTTGATTAAAAATATAAAGATTAACCCATTTGGAAATGTCTTAGTAATAAGAATGTTGATAAATCATAACAGCCTCAACCTGGGATTCAGATTGCTGTACAGAAATCTTTAAGTTGATATGATACAGGATAAATCTGTCAACCAAAAACTGTCAGTGACAACCTAACACTGATCACAACTTGTTGAAACTTTGGAGATCACACAATAAAAATGCTATCAAAAATAACAAAATGGAATGTTGTGAACAAATAAAATCAGATTTCAAACAATAATAACCAATGAAAACCTATGAAAACAATGACCTATAAACAAGACATATAAATTTCTCAGCAATAGACTCTGTTCGTCATACACTATTTGAATAATATCATAAAGACTGAAGCTCAAAATAACAGTGTATTTCATTATTTTCAATCTTTAACACAGGCATAAACAATTAAAATGTCTTGCTTATGAAGGCGAAAAGCAAGTGTTAGTTTTTATGCCCAAATTTATATTTTTATGAAAAATGCATTTTTCCTAAAATATTCCATACATTTAATATCTTATATCATTGATTTCTATAGTCAGTCATTGTCATTTTCTTAAAACTGACACAAAACTTGAATCTTAACAAGTAGATAGGAGGTCTGATAACTCCTGTACATATATCATATCAATAGCAGCGCATATTAATTTAAAAAAAAAATCATAAAATAAAACATAAACCCAAATAACAGGGTAAGAAAGCCCAAACTTGTCACAACAAATATTGATGAAATCTAATCATTACTCTCTTACCTAAATATACAAATAAAAGTATGATGTCAGATCTGTACAATGTATGTGTTTTAATATACAATATGGGTGTTCTGTACAATGCATGTTCTATACAATATGTACAGTACAATCTTGATGTAGTTTGTGCAGTGATCAATGTAACTAGTTTTTACAACATCTAACATGTAGTGCTTGTTATATGCCTAGATAAAATTTAAAAGAAAACACAAAACAAAAACTAAAAAAAGTTTTGTACACAAAAATTAATACAAGAGGCCCACGGGCCACATCGCTCACCTGAGCACTATGGCTAGGAAAAAGCAGAAATCAGTTCAGTCTTGAAAGGTTGAAAAGTTTGAATAAAAAAGTGGTTCGGGGGGAGGGGGGTGTCATAAATTGAACAAATTTGAATCTACATTATCTGAGGATGCTTCCATTTAAATATGACCAATCATGGCTTTGCTGTTCTTGAGTAGAAGATTTTTAAAGATTTAACCTATGTATTCCTATGTAAAACTTTGATCGCCCATTGTGGCCCCACCCAACCCCCGGGGGTCATGATTTGAACAAACTTGAATCTACACTACCTGAGGATGCTTCCATGTAAGTATGACCAATCATGGCTTTGCTGTTCTTGAGAAGAAGATTTTTAAAGATTTTTCCTATATATTCCTATGTAAAACTTTGATCACCCATTGTGGCCCCACCCAACCCCCGGAGGTCATGATTTGAACAAACTTGAATCTACACTACCTGAGGATGCTTCCATGTAAGTATGACCAATCATGGCTTTGCTGTTCTTGAGAAGAAGATTTTTAAAGATTTTTCCTATATATTCCTATGTAAAACTTTGATCACCCATTGTGGCCCCACCCAACCCCCGGAGGTCATGATTTGAACAAACTTGAATCTACACTATCTGAGGATGCTTCCATGTAAATATGACCAATCATGGCTTTGTTGTTCTTGAAAAGAAGATTTTTAAAGATTTTTCATATATATTCCCATGTAAAACTTTGATCGCCCATTGTGGCCCCACCCAACCCCCGGGGGTCATGATTTGAACAAACTTGAATCTACACTATCTGAGGATGCTACCATATAAATATGACCAATCATGGCTTTGCTGTTCTTGAAAAGAAGATTTTTAAAGATTTTTCCTATATATTCCCATGTAAAACTTTGATCGCCCATTTTGGCCCCACCCGACCCCCGGGGGTCATGATTTGAACAAACTTGAATCTACACTATCTGAGGATGCAACAATATAAATATGACCAATCATGGCTTTGCTGTTCTTGAAAAGAAGATTTTTAAAGATTTTTCCTATATATTCCTATGTAAAACTTTGATCGCCCATTGTGGCCCCACCCAACCCCCGGGGGTCATGATTTGAACAAACTTGAATCTATACTATCTGAGGATGCTACCATATAAATATGACCAATCATGGCTTTGCTGTTCTTGAGAAGAAGATTTTTTAAAGATTTTTCCTATATATTCCTATGTAAAACTTTGATCGCCCATTGTGGCCCCACCCGACCCCCGGGGGTCATGATTTGAACAAACTTGAATCTACACTACCTGAGGATGCTTCCACATAAGTTTCATATTTTCAAGCACAGTGGTTCTTGAGAAGAAGATTTTTTAATGATGCCATTAATTTTTCATGAATTCGTAATTATCTCCCCTTGGAAGAAGGCGTGGCCTTTCATTTGAACAAACTTGAATCCCCTTTACCCAAGGATACTTTGTGGCAAGTTTGGTTGAAATTGGCCCAGTAGTTCTGGAGAAGAAGATGAAAATGTGAAAAGTTTACAACCAGGGATGGGCACGATTACTGAAAAATGTAATCGATTAATAATCGATTACTTAGAGGAATTTTGTGTAATCGATTATTAATCGATTACACTCATTTTTGTCCTGTAATCGATTGTAATCGATTACTTTGGAAGATGTAATCGATTAATAATCGATTACTCCCAAGTTTTTATCCCTTCAAATACCAAAGCAATATTTAAATGGTAATGTTGATGATATCCACTGAAGTTTGAATGTATTCCTGCAGTTTCAGTGCAGATTCTTTTAAGGTTTTATTCTGGCTAACATTCTCACTAAATGCCCAAATGAGGGATTCTGTACCATGAAAAGTGGAGACATGATTCCTACAATAAAATATGTCAAGGAATTAATTATTCCTCTCAACCTTGGATCTGAACCTCCATATTCAGATTTGACTTGTTGCAAAAATTATTTATTATAAAATAATTTTATTGTGAATAACTTCCTTAGAAGTATTTGGGCTGCCCGTATGTTGACAGTACACATTAAACATTCTTGTGTTCTTTAAAAAAAATAAGTAAATTAGAACTCTTAGTAATAAACATGTAAATCAAATGTGTCTTTAAGTAATTAAACTAATAGCACAATTTCATTCTGTATTGAAATAAGTGTTTTGAGAGCTATTAATTGTTTTAATAATATTGTTTGTCTTCAATAGAACTATGAATAATAAAAGTTAAAACTAGGTAGTTCACAGTTTACACCTCATTATCTGCAAGTCAGGGATGTCTCAGTCAATTAATTAGCCAAGATAAGCAAACACAGTGACACTTACTCCCTCTCTTACAGACACTTATAACCCCTCACTGATACAAAAGAAACCTTACAATTTTGAATGAAAACATGAGAATGATTTTGCAAATTTTAAAGTTACTAAAACAACAAGTTTGAAGTTGTTTAAACATTTTCAGATATGAATAAGTATTTCCATCTTCTTTTTTTTTGAGTACAATGTAGTTTATTTACCAAATCATTTATATTTAATACAGCACTTAAATCTGTTTTTGCTATTTATAATTTTCTATTACAACCACAAAGTTTTTCAATATTTGAAATATGAAAAAGGACATGCAGCAAGAGGACTATGGGTCAAATGTAAAATGCATACAAAAAATCTTTATGTATATATTTTATTAATAAATAGTTGAAATACACTTCTGAATTATTTAATACTAGACCAGTAGGTCTATAATGCAAATTTTATTGAGAACATTATTAAACTTATGATAATAAAAGTAAGGTAATCCAAACATTACACTAGGTTGTTTATATTTGATATTTGTGTGTGAATGACAGTAAATAATTCTCCAAAATAACATCCATTTATGCATAAAATAATCGAAAGTAATCGAAAAAGTAATTATAATTACATTGGAAATTTTAGCTGTAATCGATTAAATTACGATTACAAGTAATCGAAAATCTCTTCGATTACAGATTACTGTCGATTACTTGAAAAAAAGTAATCATTACAATTACTCGATTACGATTACCCCATCCCTGTTTACAACAACGACGATGCCAACGCCAACGACAGACAACGGACAAATTTTGATCAGAAAAGCTCACTTGAGCCTTTGGCTCAGGTGAGCTAAAAAAGTATTGTATCAACATTTCAAGACCCTGATTCTAAGACCCTGATGAAATTTACATGCAAAATTCTGAGTATATACATATACAGTCAAGCCTTCTTAATCAGAACACTTTTGTTCCCAATTGTTCAGATTAATGAAGCATCCAGATAACTAAAATTGGTATATATAAATATAAATTGTTCCCCACATTTTTGTCTAAAATGTGAAGCATCCTAATTATCGAGGCTTCATTGAATTTTATCTTTCTATTAAAGGCTTAAAAGAATAGTAATGCAAAAATAAAATTTTCAGTTATAACAAGTAATCATTTTTTGTAATTGTTGATTTTCCAAAATTACAATTCTTTGAATACCTTAGATTTTAACAATATGCTGGAGTATACATTATTAAAATTAATTAATTTCAAGTGAATTATAAAGTACTACTCCAATTTGTTGAAACTTCAAACATGATATTTTGTTCTCATTGTACATATTTGTTATTAAATATCAAAGTAATATTTTGAAATTCAGATCTTCATTAATATTAAACTGCTAGCTAATTTTTTCCCCCAAAATTAACTTTCGACTCATATAATGAGGGTTTGTGTGACAGAAGACCATATTTCTTGCAATTAGAAAGAATTGGCCAATATGCCTGGCCACTTTTTTCACTGCTTGTGCAAAGTTTCACACTCACAAATATAAGAATGATTTTAGACAGATGAATAAACCTTCCATAGAATACTGATATTAAGTACTTTCATATGAGGTATTTTTGGGAGCGTACACTGATTGGAACATCTGCTTCAGATCATGACAGTACTCTGATTATTTCTCCACACTGCATCAGATCATTACAGTACTTTGATTTTTCCAAGCCACTTTGATCATTACAGTACATGCAGTACTTTGATTTTATTTCACAATTTTTCAAGCCCCTCTGTAAATGTTAGTATCTCTACTAGGTTCATATTCATGTTTTTCTCCAGACAATGATAATAGAATTCTGCTGCCTCGCTTTTCATGGACTTTAGCTGTGCCAGAAGTTTACCATCAAATTGTGCAAAGGAGGGTACACAACTGTTAAAAAAAAACAAGATACTTTGTAGGTTTATCTGTGAAAATATCCAGATAATTTTTTTCTAGATTATTCTGTCTAGAAGCCTTCTCCATTCTATTACATGTATATTGTTCTCTGAAACTTGTATTAAAATTTACAACTAAATATTAAATAATCCATCCAATTTGAGGTAATAGAACCAGATTAAGGTCAGACGACACTTTCCTAGTGAACATATAATTTTCCCCAAAATTTTGTCATTGAAGTTTAACTTCCTAAACAAGTTTCCTCACCAAAAATTGAGGAACCTTACCAGGCATTTTAGCAAGATACCAGAGGTGATATTTCTTATATAATCCTTATGGTAATCTTTTGAATTGCCATTGTCACAATTTTTGGTATACTTACTTATTAAACATATTGAAAACAATTTAGAAATCACAAGAGAATGACAATTATGAATAATTTTTGATATAATACCAAGGTATACGAAATATATATTTGAGGAACGTTTCGTCTGACCTTAAGATTACACTTGGCTGTGTATTCTTTTTAGCGCCTATGGGGAAAAGCAATTACCGCTATATGCCTTGCATGTATACACATAAATTAGAATATTAAAATTAAATGCGCTAAATCAAATCTATGCCAACTTGATCAAAAATTGACTTCCGCCAAATACTGTACACACTAAATATAAAACTGTAAATTAAGTGGAACTTTTAGCGAGATGCAGATATAGCGATTCATCCTAAAAAATTGGTATATATTTTTAACAAGAAGTAATTTTAGTGATTTTATAATGCCAAGCGAAGCTTTTACTACAAATATGCAATTAATTGTTAGCGATATTCAATTTTAACTATCTCAACACCCTCGGTAATAATGCCAAATTCTAATGCAATTGTTTTTTAAAACACCTTTTGACTGGCTAATGCACTGATGTTTGAGGCAGTTAAACGCTTACGTGTTGCTGGTAAAACTCAGTTTGCGACCGCTAAATCAGCATTAACGGTCGCAAATACCAAATTAGAAGATAGTCATTCCCTAAATCAAATCCTCACAAAAAATCTCCTTATGCGGTACATTTACAGTATTTAATATTACTTACCCATCTAGTTTGAGAGAACAGAGCCAATTGGAGACATCCTCCGTGTTCATCTGATAAACCTTGGACGCCGTAGAGCTTTGTCTGATTGGCTGACTGCCTTGTAATGAAGAGGAAGACGAAACTGGGGCATCTGTCTTATCTGAAAGTAACAAAGAATGATATTGGATGTGATCTTCAAATTTAAGAGATCTTTTATGCTAACAATGAAGCAAAAAATTTTATTATTGTCACAGTGTACAAAACCTTTTATAAGACATTGGGTATTATCTCATTTTAAAAAAAAAAAAAAAAACCATTTGTATAAAATAAAGAAGTAGTTTATCACATTTACACTTAAGTTTTAAAAATTCCGACCATTACAAGTTTTATACAGTACGTATCACAGAACATGAATTGTAATTACCTACTAGTATTGTGTCATTTTTTAATACCTACAGACACCATTTAGCTCTCAGCACAGATAGCCACATGATTACCTGTTGAGGGATTTTCCAGAACCGACAGCCTCCCAATGCTCTTAAGTTCCTTCATCAGTCCATTCCATGGCTTTTCAAATGGATATTTTCCGCTGAAGTCGAAATACAGCTTGGCTCCGAGAATCATTCCGAGCCAGCCGTCAGGGCGATATCTCTTCTGGACCATCAGGGGAATGTACTCTTTACGGAGCTGGAAGGTGTACTCTGCCTCTATAAATTACAGCTATGTTTAGTTACATGTTTCATATTAAGCTAAACATTTTGATGATGTTGACGTTACGTAAAATATAAGCTATTAAACATTTGAATAATTCTGAATAATATAAATTAACAAGCATTTTGAATAATAAGGTCATATTAATATAGTGTTAAATCTAAAGCAAACTAGCATGGCGCGCCATGCCCTTTTCTCTCAGCGCCATGCCCTTTTTTCCTTGCAAAAATAAATAAATATGCCTAGCAGAGGCAAGATGGACTAGCGGCTTTGTTTATTCAGTGCATGGTGATTAGCCTCTTTGTTTATTTAATGCACACAAAGATGTGAATTCAGGACAGGAAATCACTTCTCGCTTGAACGCACACAGCCATCTGGCCAGGTAACATGCCTCAGGCTGTCAGGGTAAAAGAGATAACAGGAGAAAATATCATTTGATTGCATCAGGGACCTATATACTAGTACATGTATATAGGTCCCTGATTGCATTGATTATGCAAGAATTAGCCCAATGTCAAAGATAGATTAATTTGTAAATTAAAATGTTTCACATTTTAAATCTGGATCGTTTTTTTTTTAAATTGAAAGTAGAAAAAACAGAGTTGATGAAGAAATGTGAAAAATAAAACTGCTGATGAATTAAGTCAACTTACAATGTACCAAAAAAACTGAATATTATGTGTGAAATGGGCTAGGAAACAACAAGGTATGAAGTTAGTTTCTTTCAACATGTTCAATGATTCTGTGTTCTAACTTTTTGAGTTGACACCTTGAGGCTCAATGTTTCTAAGCCAGAAAAAAAGTTTTAACCAATTTATATATTATTTCAAGTTTAATGTTTTGGTATGATCAGTTTTCACTTGATTTTGTTGGTAGATTATTTTCAAAATAAAGAGAATGCCCTCTACATCTATTATCCAAGTAGCCCCCCCTTGCAATTTTGTTCTGTTATTTACCTCATACACAAATAACAATATTAAAGCAAGGGAAAAAATTCATACCCCAAACTAAAATAATTCTTGAGCAAGTGACAAAAAGATTCACACCTATTACTTTTTAAGCATAACCTTGATAACCGTACTAATTTCTTGATTAAAAAATTTGAATTTAAATTTTGGCAATAATTGCCCTCTTAGTGTGTATTAAATGAATTAAGCTGACAGATTTATAAATTGTTCTTTCAGATACTGGTATAACTAAAGATTTCAGTATTAAATAATAATTTAAGTACAAAAACATGATAAAGAAAATATTTATAATTTCAAAGACGTTAAAAAAGTGCCCTCATGAAAACTTGTCGCGGCGTAAAGTGTCCTTTTGATTATTGGATTACCATGCCCTTTTTAGGGTCTGGATTTAACACTATTAATATCTGCTTTATATGCAGATGCAAAACAAGTTTGTTCAAACAATTATTTCTTTATACTACTGTATATAGGGTTATTTTGCCCTGTGTTATTTTCGCCCTTTTGCACTTGTGAACAATTTTGCCCCGTTCTAAATTCGCCCAGTCACAGTTCTGTACAAGAAATTATACTGTGTTCTTTTAATTCAACTAAGTACCATAAAGACATCAAATACCAGAATGACAAAAGAAGAAATCCTACTATAAGCTTTATGGCTCTGTATTTCTTCCCATAAAAATCTTGTTTTGAAACACACTGATAGGTAATAACTCACCCAGTCTACAGTTAGGGCTTACTTTATATTTCTCTGACATACAGATTAAGTTATAACTCACCCAGTCTACAGCTAGGGCTCTCTTTATATTTCTCTGACATACAGATTAAGTTATAACTCACCCAGTCTACAGCTAGGGCTCTCTTTATATTTCTCTGACATACAGATTATTTATAACTCACCCAGTCTACAATTAGGGCTTTCTTTATATTTCTCTGACATACAGATTAACACCAGTGCTGCATTCTCCACTGCTTCAGCCATAGCAGACAAAGTGGATCCACCCATCCTTTCCACATCAATCCAAACCTCCACTCCTTCTTTCTGAAAGAAACAAGGTGTCTTGTTATTTTATCAAATAAAATAATTTTACTGTTTGGGACAACTTGTCCACTCTATTTCTGAAAGAAACAAGATGTCTTTTGTAGCCACAGTACCACAGCTGACATATTTCTATGGTGACAGTGTTTCTTTAACAATTTTAATTTCAAGTCAAATTTTTATACAAGATCTTGTACTTGACAAAGCCTTAAATTCTTTCTTTTGGCTCAGAAAGTGGATTAATTTTGCAAATATCTCAACTCAACTCAAAGCTATTTTCCGAGTTTCATAAGGAGGTAGGGGAGAAGGAGAAGGTCCCCCTCCTAACTCCACCCCTCCATTCACCCTCAGGCTGATCTCCTCCTCAGTGCTTCCACTGAACATTTGCTACATTCAATGTGGATAAACAACATACAGTCAAACCTCATTATCTCAAATTGAATGGGACAGAGAAAAAAACTTCTGAGATATCCAAGGATTTGAGATATCTAGGGTAACATACTTAAAGAATGAAAAGTCAGGACTTCCAAATCACTTGAACATATCCATGGTATTCGAGATATCAGTGTATGAGATACCAAAGTTCAACCATATTGTTGGAGATAGTTTTATAAATATGTGCTTACTTTTAACCTCTCCCGGATCTTCATCACAATTTCTTTCTCATTCCAGGAGTAACTGATGAACACATGGCCTTTATTTTTCTTGGCAGACTTTGGACCTACAAACCAGACCAAAATTTGTAAACATAAAGACAACAGTTATCAGTTCTATATTTATACTGATCTGTTAATGGTCAGTTGCTTAATAAGCAATGTTTTAGGTTATCTTGATTTTCTACTAAATCTGATTTCATGTGTTTATTGCATCTCACCTTTTTTTTTGTCTTAAAAAGAATTTTTAAAAAAGTTAAAAATCTCTATAGATATATTGTTGAAAATGACACACAAGGAATGCTGAAAACATTTTACCCCATACAGAGAAAAATGTTCATAAAATAAATCCTTAGATTTTTTTCCCCAAACAGATATTCTAAAATCACATACATGTTTTAGGCCTAATGTAAGCCAGAACTACATCATAACAAACAATGTCAGAGTCAAAAAGCCATATTCTGACCAAATACTCTCACCTTAAACAGCAAGTAACAGAAAATATGAAATACACCACTTAAACTTCTAGATCCACTTACGTTTTGATACATCATTCACCACTTAAACTTCTAGATCCACTTACGTTTTGATACATCATTCTCTCCTTTGAGTACAAACAGTGCTCCGCTGACGTTTTTTGCGACAATTTTGTCCTGACTATTCGTCAGGCTCTCCAGCCTCTCTATCATTTCTGGGTACTCTACGATTTGTTGACACACCTCCTTGTCGAATGATAAATTCCATATCGCCCTCGCTGTAATGGCTTGTTCCTCAGTGTGTTCTCCTTTCAACATTTCAAGGAAAACCGGTAATGCTCCTGCTTCAATAATCTACAAAAAAAAAAAAAATCATAAACAGGGGAATATAAATTTAATTTCATATCTAAGGTTAAATAAAATTAATTCTTAGCACATTGATTTAAGTATTGCCCCTGCTTCAATAATCTGTGAAAACACATTACAAGAACAGAGAAATTCTATACACAAAATTTCCTACCTAAGGCCATGTAAAACTAATTCTTAGCACATAGATTTATATTTACATTCTCTTTTCTTCAAACTACTACAAATGTATGGCATGTGGGGTTTTTTTTCGATTTTTTTTTTTAATTACAGATCCTAATCCTTTTTAGACCATCATTTTATTCATTTTTAATCCAAAAATACACTGTTTGGCAAAATTTGTGAGAATCTAAACATTAATCTTATGTGATCTAATAAATCATGATGAAATTCTTTATATTGTAGCATTGTAGTGGTTATAATTAAACATTAATACTTCTTTCCTGGTTAACATATCCTGATATTCTATGAGTATGTTATGAGCTACTGCACTGAAATCTGGAGTCGAGCTTACCTTTTTCTTATTTTTGTCGTTAACGGCCAGTTTACTCAGCCCGTCCATAACCTCCTGAGGGGTAAAGCCTAAATGTCTTCTCTTTGTATTCTTTAAGGCCTTGGTGATGTATTTAATACAACTTTCTATGGCACCTGTGTGTATCAAAGAGACCAGATTTATTATATGTATGTACATGTAATACAACTTTCCATGGCACCTATGTGTATCAAAGAGTCCAGAGTACTTATGTTTCATGCCATTTTGTTTGACAAGGTAAGTTGTGAACTCAGTAACCTATGCATTTTTCAAAATCTAACATATTACCTATATACAGTATGTTTAACTGTCAAGGATCTTCAATTTGAAATTTATATGTTATGAAGTTCAGTATATGTCATAGGTTAAAATTTTGGGAAAAAAATAATCAAAGAAATACACACACCCCTTCCCGAAAAAATGTGCCTCTATCCTGAGAGCACAAAATGGTGATCAAAATTTTCAATCTGACTTTAATTCTTACTTTTTTCTTGTAGTTTGCATTTTGATTTTTTTAAATACCATTCTTTAGTTATTGGAATAAGTTTCAAAATACCATAATTATTCTTCAGTTCTATATTTTGATAAATAGATATCTGGAAAAAAACATCACTAAAACAAATCATTGATCCACCTACCTGTTTCATCAATCAGTTTATCATTATCCTCCTCTTCTACGATATGAGCCAAGGTCAGAAGGGACATGACCTTTAACATCTCATAGGTCAAATCCTTCCAGGTGGCAAACTTCAGCATCACCTGATTATAAAAATCAATAACATTCAACTTCAACATCATCTGATTAAAATCAACAACATTCCAAATTCCATCATATTATTCTCAGAGATGACATTGCTTTTGGTACACCCCCTGTTCGTTGCATATAACATTTTGCCTTAACGCTAATGATTTTTCCAAAGAAATCTAATTTATAGTTAAACTGTGCACAATTTTGATAGAAATGTGATTGCATCTTTCAACATGCCCATTTTACAAAGGAGTATTGGGTATTTATCCCAGTGAAAGTTATCTCTTTTATGGAAGGTCTATTAAGCAAGAGCCTTGTTTACTTTAGCTGTTTTAATTATGATATTTATGAATATGCCACAACTCATTTTAAACTCTCAACTATATAAATGCTCTGAAAAGGGGAATAACTCTTTCAAATTATGTAGTATGAATGTATTGTGATTTTATGAGTATAATATATATTTAGAGAATTGTCATCCTGTTATTATTTAATTGTATTATTATTATATGTATATTTGCAGAGTGACTATTATCATTATTGTTGTTCATCCAATAAACCATCAACGAACCCGCAGGTGTCTTGGTGTATCTATATATTACCATCTTCAAGACTCGTGTTACATTAATTTCATTATCCCTCTCTATTTTTTAATACTGACCTCAAATTTAAACATTGATGACAGTGAGCAAACAAATGAATTTTTATACAGTCCCTGATTCACTTTTTGATCTTTTTTTTTTTAATTGAAAAAAATTATTGCTTAGATGACATTTGTACCTCAGTGGTGCCATTTTCTTTGAAGTAATGATGAATATCTGTGGTTCTGGAGATGTTGTGTAATATACTCATGGAAGCTTTCACAACATAATACACATTCTGTAAAGAAAAGAAGCTCATTTTAGTCAACATAAAAAATATTCTTTCATCTGTTATAATATTTACATGTGATGGGATTTCTCTTAAAGATTCCTTTGTTGGAAAATTTAAGTTCAAATCCTTATTCACTCAGTCCGAGAGTACATAGTACTAGAGGAAGCGATCGTTTCCATAACAAGATACCTAATAGCCACAAGACTCACTTGGGTCACTTTTCAATTTTTCTATAATTTTATATTTATGCAAGTCGACATTATATTCAAAGAAATGTTATTCAATAATAATAACTTAAAAATTTATATGCCTTCAGAACATGAAGTAAATTGCTCCTCACAGTTTAAAGACAAATAAGAAGTAAATCTTATTTTAATAGGAGTTGGAAACATACTGGATTCTGACAAAAGATAAAAAAAAAAAGAAAAGTCACCTTGGAATGAAGGTTTTTAATATAGGGTTCATGATCACAGTTAATGGTAAAAAATCTCACACCATCATTGTCTGCTATGGACTGAAATTAAAAAAAAAAAAAAATTAACAAGAGTGCGTAGTACATATGCATTATTTTTTTGTTAATTTTCTTAGAAGTTGCTACACACCTTTAAAAAAAAATGAAAATGAAAATTTTTTAGTCAGAGTAATTAAAGAAATTAATGTGATGATCATTACATTATTTTTATTTTAATTGCAGATATAGTGTGGTGTCCAAAATTTTCAATGGAATCCTATTTTATGTTAATTGGGCCAAAAATACAACTTCGTTGATGTATAAATAATAATTTGTAAAATTAACATTTGTTGATCACCTGCTTTAAAATTTTGGTCTGACTCAAATATGAAAACAACAAAAATTTGTATTCAATGAAAAAAGATGGGATCAGAGTATATATAATTTTTCAGACTCAAAGTTAATTATCTATAGTTTGAACTTATAAACATAATATGTGTTACAATGATTGATTGATTGATTGTTTAACCAATCAATCAATGTAACACATATTATTTTTACAAGTTCAAACTACAGATAATATGTGTTACATGTCAATACCTTGGCAAGTTTAAGAGAGGCATCTGAGTAGTTCCACAGAGTATTAAAACAGTAGTACACAGGAAACCATATAGAGTCATTCTTAAATATACCCTTTCCATTCAATGTCTTCAAAATCTTCATGGTAATCTCTGCAAAAAAAAAAAAAAAAGAATTGTATGGATGAACTTTGGTATCTCCCTGTCATCAGGAAAAGTTGGTAGTACACTGCCTGAGGTTGCTAAATTTTGAATTGGCCTAGAAAAAATGTTATCTTGAGAGCCTTCGGGAATGAAGTTGATTACTCTATTATTGACCCGTCCGCAGGGGATGTTCACTCCTCCATGGCACCTGATCCCACCTCTGATGTTTTAGAGGTCCGTGTTTGCTCTGCTCCAAAATTTTTACTGTTTAATGGACTTTTGAGCTTGAATACTGTTCATTATCTCCATACATTTCATGTTCATCTGAACTAAACACAAAAAGTTTGATCCCTTTAATGTTTAAGAAATGGGGTAAATTGATCGTATTATAAAGCATATATTAAACTATGATTAAAGATGAAATGAAATGCATTTAAATGTTAAGCAAGAAAACAAAAAATAAATAAGCGACCCCCCCCCCCCCCCCCCACAAAGAGAGTGGAGATTAGGGTATCCTATGCAGTTTGTTTAAAAAGGAAACAATATTCAGCAGAGTTAAATAAAGAGCATGCCATGGCTTGAGAATCATGCCATGGCTTGAGAATCATGCCTGAAAGAGAACAAAATATCAATATGTATTACTAAAATAATATCCTTTATTTCTATTTGAGTAGAATCAAATTAGTATGGGCTACTAATATTTTGAGGAGGAGGGGACTAGTGAAATTTGCTTCGGCACTAGCCTCCTTGGCTAGATCGTAGACAAAATTTTCATTTAACATTTAGCAAAATTTTTCCAACCTGCGAACCCCTCCTCAGCTAAAGCATTGCCGATTTTGTTCCTAATGGCTCGGAAATTCCAGTATGTGTCTCCGATACTTTTCAAAATCTTCATTGTTTCTGCGCGGTCATACTCATCTAATCCCCGGAGAGCTTGCACAAGTTCTGGAACTCTCTGTAGCATTTCTTCATCCTTAAAGTTTAAATATAAAATATACAATGTATCTAGGGAATAGGGCATTTGCAGTTAAATAAAATCTTGCAATGACTTGCAATGAATATGCAGGTGAAAGCTTGATAAAATTTTTTCAAATGCTCATTCTCACATCAAGAGCAGAGAAAACTTAATGTATGTAGGGATGAGATTGTTATAACCTGATAAATAGATTCTGACAAACCATAAATTGAAAACCAACATCACTTGCACTCAAAGGTTTAAATTAATCTTAACGTGATACAGATAAGGCTCTGGATCTTATGCAACAGGAAAGATAACTAATACATGAGGACTCTTTCCAGCTTTCACATTTCCTACTAAGTTTGTATTAGGAAAATTGTCATGAGTTATCTCTTGTTGCCATTCCATTTATATAAAGTAAGAACATAATTCTCCACCAACAAAGTGCTAGTCCAGATGACATACAGAATCAGTCTTGGTTTCAAAATATGTCTGACTCTCTGCAGAAGCAACATAACAAATACACAATCATGAGGGAGTCTTACTGAAGAACATACAATCTGTACAGTAGATGTGTAACCTCTACCTAGTACAATCAAACCTTGTTATCTCGAACTTCATGGGGCCAAGAAAAAAACTTCAAGATATCCAAGGATTCCAGATATCCAGGGTAAAATACTTAAAGAATAAGTAGTTGGGACTTCCAAATCACTTCGAGATATCCATGGTATTCGAGATATCTGTGTTCCAGATACCAAAGTTTAATTGTATATTTTTATAGGACGGACCTTGATCTTTAACATAAGTCAATATGACCTCTCTACGTCACTATGTTCATTCATTTCAAAGTAATAGCCAAGGATAACCTTACTGACAGACAATCAAACAGACAAATCAAAAACTATGTACATTTTTTCATCTTAGGGTGGCTGGGAGCATAAATATCTCACCAAAACCAATGCATTACTTAACCTAATTACTGAAACAAAAAAATCGAGATATTCCACATAGCTAATCAAACGACACAATCAAATTTTTCAAAAAATAAAACCTACCTTGAGATTCTTAATATTACATATCTCATCATAGTTGATCTGTCCATTCATTTGTTCTGTTGGATTCTGGGAAGGGTCCTCCATGGACTGACTTCCAGACTTCTGAGGAGACTGCCCAGTGTCTGCATTCATCATGATGGTGGACTCGTGTAGACTTAGGGGGCCATCTAAAAATACAAAAATTCATAAATTTGAAAAAGTGTTCAGGTCATAGGATTGTTCATTTAACATGGTACCTATAATGTACAACAAAAGGTCTTCACAGGAAAAATAAATGTTACAAAGTCTTGCCTATAACGAAACAATTTCATTTAAACCTCATTATCTCAAACTTGATGGGACTAAGAAAAAACTTCAAGATATCCTAGGATTTGAGATATTGAGGTTAAAATACATGAAGAAAAAGTGCTTGGGACTTCCAAATCACTTCAATATATCCATGGTTTTCAAGATACTGGTGTCAATGAGATACCGAAGTTTAACTGCATTTTTTCCTCAGACTGAAAAATAACAAATTAGGGGGTAAAATTTCCCATCTTATATGTTTCATTATTTCATTGTTTTTTCTTTTTGTTTTCTTTTTCCCCTAAAAAGCTTCAACCCAGATGCTTAGCAAATATGAGAGAAAATGGAACATTTGTTTTTCCCTCTTGTCCATGCTTTCTCTTAAGTATTGACATATCCTCACCAAGTTTTATTTGATTATGAAAGTGCATCAATTAAAATTTTATTATTCTAATACAGTTGAACTTCAGTATCTCAAACGTCAGTATCTCCAATGCCATAGATATGTAGAAGTGATTTTGATGTCCCAACCACCTAATTTTCTTAATGTTTTTTTAAACTCAATATTTCGAACCCTTGGATATCTTGAAGTTTTTTCTTGGTCCTATTGAGTTCAAGATAATGAAATTTGCCTGTACTTCATAATTCTTTTACCATAGTGACTATGAAGGCAGCTAGATCTACTCAATACATTAAATGTGTGTCATCAGCCAAAATCAATAAATTGATTAAATTAGTACTTCTCTCTAATGTACAGAAAAACAAGATGACACATAACTGACCTGTTTGAGGCACACTTAAATTATCAATAGACTAACAGGTGCACTGCTATCATGGCACCATCACATTAATTTTTCAAACTTCAAAATATCTAATTTAGAACTATCTAGTAAAGCATTACCCATGCAGGCCTTTCAAAATCTGCCAGTACCCTGTACTTTACCCGGCTGAAATCATGATTGTACCAGCCAAAATATTTGATGGAGAAAAATTTGATTGCATGTATAATTAAATTTCAATTCCACTAGGTACCCCCTCTTTTGTGAAAGTACTGCCTGTCTCTAATCTTTTTGAAAGCCCTGCCCATGGCACCATTAAAAATAACTTCCAACAGGAAACTTGGATCTCCTTTTTGATTTTTCTACACTGAGTTTTAATATTATACTTTTTTTTTTTTTAAATCAGCACTGTGGAAGAAGATGTGTGAAAGCTTTAGACTAATATATCACAGCACTGTGTGTTACCTGGCCATTTTCAATCATAATTTAATCATGAAATAAAATCATTATTAAGGCAATACAATTGAACTTTGGTATCTCGAACATGGATATCTTGAATACCATGGATATGTCGAAGTGATTGAGAAGTATTTCTTAAGTATTTTACCCTCGATTTCTCGAACCCTCGGATATCTCAAACACAAAGTTTTATTTCGGTCCCATTGAGTTCGAGATAACGAGGTTGGACTGTATATCAGAATCAGTAGGCATCTCCATTATGTTTGAAATTGGTGAAGAAATATGCCCATTAAATTCTATATATTTAGTTAAATTCCTAACCCACAATATTCCACATGCACTGAAACCCAACACTAAAATCTCTGTCTGTGACTTATTTTCTAAATAATAATTAATCTCCTTTTCTGAGTTATGAAAGTACTATAGAATGCACACGTTTATGTAATTTTTATTACTGAAGCAAAAACACTTGACTATGTAACACTTACTTGAGTGACTAGAAATTCGTGATCCTTTCTGAGTTTTTAATCTATACTCGCTATACATAAATGTAAATATCAGAGTGTATATACTCTATATATAAAGGCACATTAAAACACAGACATTGTCTCAGGAATCAGGCTTCAAACAAATCATTTCACCAATTTTCCTGTTTCGCTGCAATGTCAGCAGTATGAATATCTCTTAGGAAATGTAAACAAATATTTCCCAGTATGTATACATAAATATTTACCTGGCAGATTCCAATATTACCAAGAGTATAAGGTTTAAATGATTTCTCCGCTAATCATTATGTCAATCAAAAATAGATTTAAATGTCTCGCTAGACTTTTCACATCACTAGACAAATATTTTACCCTCAGTTTGATGGAACCAACATTAAATAAAAATATTTGTTTAGGATACACATATACAAGTCAATTTTCCCTTTACGCTTTCCTGATTTTGTTTCTAATGAGTGCTCCAAGTTCAAATGCATTGATTTTTTAGAACAGTAATACAGAGACAATAGAGTTATCACTGGGTGTAAGACTGGGTTCCAACAGAAGGGGGGAAGGGGGGGGGGGGCTTTAGAATCCTTCGGGTTAAATATTTTTTATAACATGGACCTAAAACAAAAGATTTCTCAAATTGAGCATTTTCTTCCTTTCACCGAAAGGGATTCCATAGCTAAACCTGGATCTCTTTCTGTTGAACCATTAATTTTAAAATACTTAACACAATGCCAAAATCAAGAGATCAAATTTGGAAAGAAACACTTCTCTTAATTTTCCTCAAACCTTTTGAATAATCCAAAACAAAGAAAAACTGGAGACCAACACCTTGAGGTTGAAATTGTGGAAGATTATCACGTTTGAATAATCCAGCAAAACTGTCACACTATATGAACAAATGAACCAAAAATCAGCACTTAACCTACATTTTTTTTTAATGATTGATTAATTCAAACAAAATTTTTAAACAGTTAATCAACCAAAACCAGCAAAAAAATTTATCCTTAATTAATGACCTATGTGACCTCATATGACCTCTCTGACCTTACCTAATTTGCATGTTTGATCAACAGAATCCCAGTGTGACAGAGTAAGTGGTATTTTCAATGTCTTCTGATCGGACAGCGCAAGAACTGACGAGGACTTTCCTGTGTCTAACGATGTTATGGTGGAGGTCGTGCGCTGGGAGTACGACGAACGACGATCCTCCAAGGACGACGACCTTACTGCCCTTTGTCTCTGAAGCTTCTGAAGTTCAACGTTCAAGGCATCCCCAAAGTCAAGGTCATTCATCTTTAGTTTCTTTTCTTTCATAACTTGTTTTTCATCAAAGTAAATTTTTCAAGGTTGTTCAGTAAATATTATTAATAGTAATTGTTCCAAGATGAAGACTCATAACAATGCATTCAAAATGAGATTCCAATTTAATCTGTTTTAACCTGACCAATGCTAGATAAGATACAAACACGGAATGTTTTTGCACAAAAGCTCCAGATAATTCACTTTGCAATAAAAGTCTATTCAAATAGGCCTTAAGAAAACTTTAAATTCAATGCAATCCACCAGTTTCTTCATTCAAGGTACTATACAATTAAAACTCCCTCAAAAAACCAGGGCTACACTCTGAACACCTTCATATTTTGATGCTGCATGCAGCTAGTCTTTATTGAAAGGATCCTGATAAAACTAGGAAACTTGTCTTCCAGCACACAATTTCATCCAAGTTCTTTACTCCTCCCAAAGTAATTCAATATTCTGTGAGAATTGACACTCCAGACTGCTTTGAATAAAAACAATCCACACACAAAACTGAGTGTTCTATCTGCCTCCCTGAATTAAAATTTCATTAAGGCAAGCAGCAATTGTATCCTAAAGCAAACAAATGCTGGTCAAATATTGAAGACAAAAATTCCCAATAGAGCATGTAAGTGATGATGGTACAAATTGTTCATAAATTTTTCATTACACTAAATGTTATCCTTTCACATAAGAGCCAATTATTGAGGTCCCTCAGGGAGAACTATTCCCTCCAATTTCATTTTCAATAAGTCTCTCTGTATTTGATAGTATCAATTTTCACAGTTTTGAAATGAAGATTAAACAAAGTAGTTCAGCCTTACTCAGAGAATAGTAGACTTTAGTTCCCAGATAATATTAGAAATATACCTTAAATACTTCAATTCAAAATTACTTCTTTAAAGATTAACAGAATGAAATCAAAATTTGAATTTAAAATCATGAAGGCTAATTTTGATTACAGTGTAGAATATTCCTGTGTAATTCAGGTTAAAATATCGTTGAACTTTTTTCCCTCCAAAGTTAAATACTGATGGTTTGACAGTTAGAGATGCTGAGATAATCATTTACATGACCGTACAACATGTACATCATCTATCACTGCATGAGTGTTCCAAACACAATTAATGACTTCTGTTTAATGCTGTGCCCAAGCTTGAAGGTATCCCTGGGATATTAATATCTCCTTTGGTAAATCTAAACACATCAACAAGGCTTCTAGAAAATCATTTCAAACACTCTTTCCTCCGGGTTTTATTTCCAAAATCCAACCTTTCTTTTCAACACTAAAATATTCTACGTATGGGAAAAAGGCACTGAACATTTAAAAACAGTAATTTCATCGAAGAAAATCCAATATCTAGCAAGGTGCAAGGCTACCCGAGTGCAGTTTCATTAGATATAGCTTAACAATTAATGGATCCTGCTCCTAATCATGCAACAATGTAGGCACACTAAATTCCAGTGAATAGCATCAAACAATAGCAGTTATTATAAAACAAAGTCAGCAGTTCACTCCTCATTCCATCAGATAAACCAACAGTTTTTCTGCACACAACAACCCTCTTTTATCAACATAAGTCATGAAACATTCCATCATCAAGAGAAATCAAAATAAACATAACTCAATACTCTAGACAATTGTGATATTTCATCAAACACTACACAGTGTGTGACAGAAGGAACAAAATCCTATTGATGGACAGATAAAACCATTCAATATATATGTGGGAATGTGATCAGTGGATATAATGATTTCTGTGAAGACAGAAGTCGCGACTGTGGGGGAATTCAATACGTCCGCCTGGGGTCTTGGGGGATTTCTCAGCGTAGCAATTTTTTGATATGCGATACATCAGAGGAAATTCAGGCTGATTGACACACAATGTGACCATGCATCATCCTTGACAGTTGTCACAATGACACAATGTCTGCAAATAACAATTGTATACACATAGGTCTCTAAAGCTTTAATGACAAAGATGTGACCGGATGACCTAATTTTTCTATGTCAGACCTCTGAGAATAATCCAACAAAGAATTACTAGACAAATAAATTTCAAGTTTATTCTATAGCACCAATTAATAAATAAAGAGAAGATTATTTAATATCAAGGACTACCAAAAAAAAAAAAAATTAACCCAAGAATGCAAAAATATTCGTGGTTGCCATAATCATGAGGACTAATACTTATTTGTATTGCAACTAAACAAACGTTGGCACGATAAAGATCCCTCACTGCTCTATGGCCCTGAGTGCCGAGTAAAGGTCAAAATTTGAAGCCCTTCACCAGTATATGGTGATGTCTCTATATGAGTGAAAAATTCTCGAATGGGACGTAAAACAACCTACAATCAATATTGCAACTAAAATTCTACAAGAGACATATATTTTTCCTTCCAAAATTGAAAGAGCTAGCGCGCTTCATGAAAAATGCCTACGTGACAAGTCTGTGTGATTTACACACCAATAACCCACACTAAACTTAAAAACATTCATTAAATAAATTTTACATGTATTTCTAATATCTCCAGACTTTTCTCCAAGGAGATTGAATCAAAAGCTTTGTGTATGAATTCCATCAGTGCAATGAGACTCGTCATGAATTTCTACTTTTTGTTATAAATTATCATAATTAACAATTGATGAAAAATTAATTTTTTTTTAATTTCAAATGATATATACAAAGAGCTTATTTATGCATTAGTGTGGCTTACAGTACCTAGTTATTAACCCTTATGGAATTCGCGAATTGAGGCACAAACTGCACAGCAGCATAATTATACTGCCAAAGTGCTGCAATTATACTGAATCTGTCTTGCAAAAATGAAGTACAACTGCAGTACATAATGGGATATTTGCAATGTACAGCAACATATAATAGCTGATAATGTACAGCAAATGTATAAAATGTGTACTGAAAAAAATTCCTCAATTCCATTTCCATTATGCCAGAAAATTAAATACACTGCTATTGATGCTGCACATGCAAACATTTGTGATGAGATACAGTTTACTACAAGAAACAGTGTTGCACAATTTGATTGGAATCAATAGACATTTAATTAATTAAGGAATTTTTTTAGTTTTGTGAGTGTTATTGGTGTGTAAATGATAACACAGACTTGTCAGACTTGTCACGTAGGCAATGCATATTTCATGAAGCTATAATGCTTAATATATTAACATTTTAAAGCTTTAAAACTAACAAAATACACTTATTAATATTTGAATTTTTTGATGCCCTATATTACATATTACATATTATATTACATATATTTGGTTATATATAAATATTTTTTTTTATATTTCCATTGTGTCATGTCATTTTGATGTCACAATAACACACATTTCTTCGTGTATATTTTTAAGCATAACTTATATACACTAAAATGGTATTCAAATGAATTTAATAGTTGGCTAATAGTAAAAAAAAAAAAAAAACGCAGCAAAAGTTAATATTATAAGTTGGGCTCAATAAAAAACAACAGATCACCAAAATTCAATATTGGCTGCCATCAATTCTGACTATGCAAGATTTAGTTGTGAGTTAATTAAAATGCTTACATTTCCTTACAATGCTGCAATCTAAAATTAACTTCCTGTCATCCTTTATATTTTAGAATTAAAGACTGTCCGTTATAAGCATGATTTACTGTACATATTTACATCACTCACCCCAGTGATTTAGTCCTGCGAGGTGCAATTTCTCCCGGGACAACATGGTCCATCAGAAATTGAGGACTTTCATCTCTCACAATAATTATGAAATTTCGCAAAAAAGTTAAAAGCACTCCAACTTTATCAAGTCCCTCAGTTAATTAGGTCTTATTAACACATACCATTCAATTTTCTATATACTCTGAGGGAATATTAAATACAATTCTGAATAAAATGTATAATTATCCTAAGATTTCAAAGTGAAAATCCATGTAATAATTGTAAAAAGGGATCATTACTGATCAAACACTGAAAAAATCCTTCCTCCATGTGAAAATGACACAGTATCAATGATTTTCCCCCCAAACTGATAGTTGGTGCAGTCTTTACTTCAAATCTTCATCATTAAAGACCTCTATAAACAATAATGAAAAACAACAGAGGAAACATATTCCTGATTAGAGACTTGAGTTTAGGGGTTATCAAAATCAACATCCATTATACATTGGTAAATAACCCCCCTAACTCAATTCTAGGACCATTACTGTCAATTTCCTCTGAACAAATTAAGGAGGCTTTCTCCCCTTTTCTCCTGTTGTCATGGTAACCTTTGATGTCAATAATCTATCACAAAGTGAGTAGAAAATGAAAAAGGTCTTTTTGTCCTTTGTTTGTTTGTTTTTTTATTTTTTGGTCTAATTAATTTTAACTGTTCATAATGATACTATTTTGTATTAAGAATAATTATTCCAGAGACGTTATTATCAATTGCATGACCAGAGATATTTTTTTAATAAAAGATCTAATTCATTAAGTTTGTAATTAGGTTTTGGGTAATTACTAAAAAAAAATCTGTCCCTGATGAGACTGAAGCTGTACAGTTTCAATTGAAATTGGGCAAATACCATAATTGGGCCCCCATCCTACGGCAGCTGTGTGTGACAGCTGATTTAGCAGAATTACAGACATAAGTGGTGGCGTCTCCATATGAGTGAAAAATTCTCCAGAGGGACATTAAACAACAAACAGACAGACATATATACATATGATGTAATTGTGTAGCAAAATTTATCAAAATCAAGCCAAAAGGAGGAGTAGCAGCACATTCCCTTGCAAAAGAGCACATGGATCCCGATATGAATTATTACTTCCCATTTCCATGAACTTACCTTCCAACTTACACACTCACAAGCCCATTACTATGTTCCCTACAACTTCATTGCAAGATGGATAACTTTACACATTACTTTGGCATGTGATTTATCTTAAATCAATAAAAAAACAAACCTGATTATTTCTTACTGGATGGGACCGAGAAAAAAATTGAGATATCCGA